TAACAAGATTATCAGCAATATTAATTGTTGGTTGACAGAACGTCGTAAATGGTTTAAAAACAATGACGTTATACAATATTCAATATGACGTACTTAGGGTCTTAGTACAGATTGTGGTTCGGGCGTCCGAGAACTGGACCACAACTATCATTTTTTCAAAAGAATGTTGACAAAGCGACACTATCAACTGGACTCCACTCAGAATCGTTTTTTCGTTAGCGATTATTCATCGCCGCTTACAGATATACATTAAATTCTAGTCTAAATCTTATCTTCCGAACTTCCTACCTACAACGGTGGCTGCACCCACGTGCGAAGTATGTCCGTCCTTTTTATTATTGAATCTGGTGGTTGGTCCACTAGATCTGAATACATTTTAAATTTAGCAAAAGGCAATAAATTGTCCAGCATTAAATGATATAGAATTATGGAAGTTTAAGACGACGTTTATATTAAAATTAGAAGTGTAGGTGCACTAAATGCGAGAAAACGAACTTTAATTCAACAGCATTATATCAGTAATGAAATTAAAAATTACGTAGAAAGGAAAACCACAAGATTTGAGTTTGATAAATCGGTATCACATTGTTTGAGAAAATAACTGTTTCAAAAAAATATATTTATTAGTGACTTATTTTATGTAATTACTATCGTTTATAAGAAAAAAATTAATAATTATTTGACTAAATTTATATTTATTTAAAAAAAAAAAAGACTGACATACTTCGCACGCGGGTACAGCCGCCGTTGTAGGTGGAAAGTTGGGAAGGTAGGATACAGATGGGAATTTAATGTATATCTGTGAGCAACGATAAATCAACAATAAAAAAAAAAAAAAACGATTCTGAGTAAAGTGAACTGACAGTGTTGCTTCGTCAACAATATATATGTAATATTATGTTAAAATGATTACAATTATGTGCGTTTCCAAGACAACAATGCTTGTTTAAAAAATATTATAATAATAAAATTTCACTATAACAAAATATAAATAAAAACGGTTGCCAATGGCCTTATTTTTAATCTTTTTAAAGAACATTTTCTTTCAGAAAAAGTGTTATACTTGATGGTTATCAAGAGTAGCTCTCTGATAGATAAAATGTTCACATAAAAAAAAATAAACATAATTGTAAAATATAAATACATTCCTCGCTTCGCTCAGAATTTAAAAACGATAAAATATATTTAAAGTTATATATTTTTGTGTTATACATTTGCAGTGTTACGTAAAGATAACTTAAAAATATATCTACATAAAGATAAAAGATAGTTAAAATCTAAATTATCTAGAAAAAGAAAAAAAAGATAAAACAATATTTATCTGGATAAAAAAAAAAAATAATATAAAATTGTTTTAATTTTATTAATTGATCTACAATTTTTTGGTCAATTTATAATAGATTCTACAGTCTACGCTTTCTATTATAATAAAAAAATAACACAAATAAGCGACCCGGATTATATTATTACTTATTACTTTACGTTTTTAATTGTAAACTGTACAAGGTTGGTTTACTGATGAGACATGGGTTTTAATTGTCAAGTTAAATTTTTCGAATTTCTCGGATAGGTGTATACATTTATTTATCTAGATGAATTACGTTACATAACTCAATTATTCATTTAAGATAATTCATCAGATAAGTAATTTTGTGTATTATCTAAATAAGATAAAAAATAATTAATTATTTATTTAGATAATGTTCAACACTGTACATTTGTGGCCGAATCTCCGGGGACCCATTAAAAACATACATTTCATTTGTGACCCAATACCCGGCTGATAAAATCTAAACAAATAATGTTTACCAAGCAGTTAAATATAATGTGGTCCAATTTCCGACCGCCGTGCGGTTTTGCTTATCGTAATGCGTGACACGTGTAAAATAAGGTTTTAACCAATAGATTATCAAAATGTTTTTAGTAATAAAATATTTACAGTATAAAAAGTCGGATACATAAGTACTTTATTTATGGTCTATTGCATGTACCACGTAAAATTACGCATGAAAATCCGGTAAAATGTATGAGGCGTTATGAATTTTAGAAAATGCAAATTATAAAAACGCGTTTTTCTCATAAACTTCTTTTTGTGACCTAATTACGGTGGTTTTGATTATGAGGGCAGTATTATATAGTAGGCTGCCGACGGATAAAAAAAAAATATGATTGATTGACACAAATTAATATGTTATTCGATTTCCATGTGACGTATTAAACGAGCGTCCGGGCTCCACTGATTAAAAAACCGTTTATAAAACACTTAACACACGAACACCCAGTGGGAGTCGTTAATAAATTATTGTCGTCATCATTACCGAAATCATATTGTTTTTATTATTATACACGCGCGTTTATACACATAGTGGGTATGCTATAAATCTAACGCGCCTATAAAATTTACGTTTTTTTTTTTTTTTCTTTTTAATATTCTGAGTATAACAATGAAGACGTGAGTTTTACGAACACATGTTTCTCGGAAAACGCTTTTACGGTTATATGCTCCGATTTTTTCACGGCATATCTTAAAATGGCTTACACGATGCGGAATTTCTGTCCGGCGATACTTTATTCGAAACAACAGTCGACATTTTCAGCAGCACAACCGCTATATTATGTCCTTTGTTTTTGTTGTATGATTTTTTCGGTTACCTATTGTATAGCAACAAATGGAGAAACACGACTATAATAACACTAATACTATACCGATACCGGTATAGTACCGGCTCGATACCGTTTTTTTTTTTCGTTTGATTTCTCGTTGCATACAGAGACGTGCGGTCAGCAAGGATTTTCAATGGGAACGGGTGTATAGTAAATAATAATCACGATTCGTGTGATTCGTGGTTCTTCTGTTGTACGTTCCCGACCGGTCAACGTGAATTCAAAAGCCACATCCGAAAAATCGACTAAAATATCTAATTTCAAGATAAAAAAATTACTAAGTATAAACACTCAAATTGCTGTTCGTATTTTTAAGCCAATGATAGGGGTAATATAACCCCTATATACGCATACAGTATACAATATATTTTTATTATCTATAACAATCTCGAATATTGTACCTTCCAAACTACTCTCCTACAAAACAGTGAAATTAAGTTTTAAGTTTAAATTTTAAATTCGAAGTTCTGTAAATTACGGAATTTCAAAACACGTCAAACATAAAGGGGATCCAAAGATGAAATTGATTATCAACTACCATACATTTTACAAATAATCTGATTTTTCGATGAGAAGTTCAAATTTTTTTGGCTGCGTACATGGACATATTTAACCAAATTTTGTTTGAAATCTCCTTAGCAAACCGTATTTCGTTGAGATTGATTTATAGTGGCGTACAGATATAAAATGTAATAACTTTGTACATACCTACTCTATATATTTATATATCCTATAACTTACCTTCACACCTTTCCACCTACAACAATGGCACACCCGTCTGTATCCAAATCGGCTATTTTTTTTTTCTATATAGTTTTTTAAAATATATTACTAATTATACTTAAGGTTCCAGTTTTAATTTGTTTGCAATAAAAAGCCGGACTTACTTTGCGCCGTATGTAGGCCACTATAGTAAGTGGGAAGTTTGAAAGTTATTGGTTTCAAGATAATTAAATGTCTATACTGAAGGCAACGATAAATAATTGCAACAAAAATATGATACTGAGCGGAAAATATATTAGTCTCATTGTATTTCCTTTGTAACCAAAGTAATCCGGATATCGATCGAATTAAAATCGATATATTATCGTCATTTATCGTTCGTTTTTTTTTTTTTTTTTAAATAAAGTAACACCAAACGAAATATCCGCAAATATTCTCAGGTACCTACGATGCGCGAAATTCGGAGCATTTATACTTACCGAAAGATTATTCCCTAGAAAGAACCAAAAAAAGGATCTAATAGAAGTGATTTTTTTTTTTGAAAAATACGATGTTTGGTGATAAATATTTTAAAAGAAGTGTACTTTTTAACGAATTATTTCGTTTTTATTTTTTCAATTTTAACTCAACGCGACTTACTTTTAATTGACCCCCCCCCCCTCGTAAAATACCATCGAGCGTCGTTTAAGATACGTCTCGTGAAGAACCCGGAATATTTTTACACCCGTCGAAAATGCGTTTTTCGAGTAGAGGGGGCAGGGGGAGGCTGGAACACGTCTTATAGTATAAAGCTTGTGATAATAAGTTATTGAATAAATTAAATTATACGAATAATGTAATCTACAGTTACGCGAGTCGTGTATTTATAAACAACCCTACTGAAAAAAAAAAAAAAAACGACATATTTTTATTTCTTTTTTTTTTTCTATTTGTTAGGCTTCGCGTCCCGTTCATTATAATTTATAATATATTATTGTAATTATTATCCACGCATAATCTTGATAAATCAACACAGACCGTATGCGCATAACGGGGATCGAGAGAAAGGAAAAAAAAAAAATTAATAAATAATATTTAAAAAAAAACATCACGAAACAGAAAAAAAAAAAAAAACAAAACGGTTTTCGGTAATATACCGCATAATAATATGCGCACGAGTCGGGTACATAATATAATGCGGCGGGTGCGCGAGATGGCGAGACCACACGCGACACACGCGGTCCCCTGACAGCGTCTCGAAGTTTACGATGATGCCGGTCGTGAACGCCGCAACGGTTAGTGTGTGCGGTCGCCGGGCGCTGTAGACGATGATGATTACGATATTATTGTTGTTAATAATAAAAACGCATACGAATATTTGTATTATTATTATCGTCGTCGTCGTTCCCCCGCGCGCGCACACGAATATATTTATCATCGTCCCGTGTATTATAATATCCGAACGGATTTTTTAACGCTGACGAACGTCGCGGTCGCCGTCGACGACCAAACGAATCCGGAAAATTCCATCTGTCGACCGGCGCGCTGCCGGGCCGTTCACAGCCGGCGGCCGCGGGGCACCCGTCGCGCGCGGTGCGACAACGGCGGTGCGGAAAGACGACCGAATAAACTAAATGAACACGCAACGGCCCGGCAACGGCGGCGGCGGCGGCGGCGGCGGCGGCGGGGTTTCGCCGGTGTCGCGGTGCACAACGCCCGGGTCGCGGTCGCGGCCCGGCGACGGCAAACCGTCACGTCCGGCCGGCGGTCCGTCGATTCCGTGCGGCCGATCCGGTCTCGTCGCCGACGCGCAGTCCGGCGGCGGACCGGGCGAAACGCCGAAAACGCGACACGGGTGTTTTTGCGGCCGCGTCTCGCCTAGAAGTCGAAATGTCCGGGAACAGAACGCGGACTTACCATTGAGTTCGGCACGCGGTCGATCCGCTCCGATGTCGAAACTAACGGCGCACAACCGACCCCGCACAGTCGACATTGTCCGGTTTTCGACGGAAACGGCCGTGTACCTTCAACGCCGGATCCGTCTCGGGGAACGGAGAGTGCGATTTTTTTCCACCGCGAAAATCGCCCGAGAAACCACCGCCGAATAATGTCGTTATAAAAAAAAAAAAAAAAATATCATTTTCACAAGCTTTCACGAAACATTCAAAACGTAATTGTATTGTTACGTTCTACCTGTGTATGGTTTTATGATTCATAATGCTTTTTTCCCGAAAACCGAAATAGCCGAATTCGTTCATAATATGTAACCTGCGATTCGGACCATTTTCTGAACAAACTAGACTTTGTCCCGGGTGATTTTTAAAACGAAACGAAAAAAATCGTACAAGTCAACGACGATTGAAAAGAGAAATTGATTATTCGAATCTGGCGTTTAAACATTATACAAGTTTTATTGCACGTTTTATTTGCAAGTTTTATTAAAACGTGAATTTTCAAATAAACTATTTTATAACCTTATATTAGTTACTTATTGAAATTTACGTTATTGCCAATACGTTATTTCGCATTAAAAAAAAACTTTCGACGAAATGATTGCAAGAGACTCCAATATTGGACACTTATCGAAAAATCCGATTTTAAATAGTTTGGTTAACTATCGAACCCGGTTCGTTATAACTCTTGGAGCTAAATACTGTGGAGTGCATATAACATATGCACCCGTAGGAAAATATGCGGAAACGAATGAAATAATATTATATATGACATTTTCGAGAGAGAGAAACGGACTCGCTTCGCACGATGGGTGGATCACAGTTGTAGGTGAGAAATCGGGAAGGTAGTATACGGAGGAGAATTTAATTTATATCTGTACACAACGGTATAAACCATTGTTGACGAAAAACGAAAAATCGAAGTTTCTTGTATACGCGTATGTAGAGTTTCCCGTTTTTCCCGGTTTTTATGTAAAAAAAAAAAAAATTGGGAAATCAAAAAAATTACTTCCCGACAGTATCACCTAGATAAATCCCCCTTTCGGAAAATCGGAGTAAGATTTCTGGTAGAGAAGTCGTTCGCAAAAAAATAAATAATTATAATGCGCGTAGTCACGAAAACCGAAAGGTTCCTCGCTGCTCGCCGTATCCGAATCCGAAAAAATCCGACGACTGGGTCCTCTACCTCTGGCACTCGGTATTTCAGCATCGGAAACGGACGATTACGTGTTATCGTTCACACGGGTCCACGTCAAAATCTCGAATCGGAAAAAAATCGACCAACTCTCGAATAAATAACTCCGCCGGGGTCTTCTTGGGTACACGATTCCCGCGAAATCTCGAACGGCGAACATTCGGAATCTCCGAACGATCGATTGTCAATTGGAAACGGGCGATTCGGCCGGGTTTTTTTTTTTTTGTCGACCCGAGATTTCGCCCTTGATTATTTTTTCCCGAGATTAATTGTAGCAGTCGGTCGGATCCGCCCGGGCCCGGTGCATTCGGCCGTTTCTGCGCGGTGTAATATACGGGCGATCGTGTCCCATTCACAACCGTACACCGCGCACCGGTACCCCGGGGCCCGCGGCCGTGCGGGTGATTTAAAGCTGCCCGTCGCACACCGTCTCGCGACGACAAACGCGCCGCAACGGCGACCGCGGCGGCACGGATTGCGGCCACCGCCGCCAATAAAACGTATTATTATTATTATTTCGCCGGCCAAAACAAATTGAAACATAAATCACGGGGCTATTTTTTTTTTTTTTCTTATTATTATTATTATTATTTAATACGTGTATTACGTACTTGTACCCGTTCCGCCGGCTAACGCTACCCGCGCGCGCACGGATTTAATGCCCGAAAGCGAACGGTTTTTCGAAACGACCAGACGAAAAACATAAATCAACGGGATGCCACGCTGCGTGCGCGCAACACGACAATAACGGTAATATTGCGATAAATAACTAAATGTTTTCTGCAATAATTTTCGGCGCGCTCGGACCGCCGAAATTTCGTCGGCCAGACGTGTTGTACGCGCGCCACGATATTGGTTTCAGTCCGCGGAAACTGAAATGTTCGGCGGCGTTATCGTTACGCGTCCTGCGCGCACCGCTACACACACATTGTCAATGTCGACAAAAGCGGAAAAAAAAAACGACGAAATTCACCTTGTTACCGTAAACCGGTCGGTTCATCGCGGTGATTTGTAGTTTAGATATTCTGAGCGGAGCGGGAGCGGGAGTGTTGGTTTTGCAATGATGTTTATTTTTATTTTATTTTTCTGTGCCTCTCTAGTGAAATTTCCTTTTAGAAACATTGCTATTATTAAAAGTTTCAGCGAAATTGGCGGTTGAAAAGTCGTTTCGGTAATATATTTCGTACATTTTTTCGGTTTTTCAAATTTCGTGAGAAAACTCTTGAGAAAGTCGAAAAACGACCTCCTTAAAGTACCCCCCCCCACACACACACACACACACACACACACACACGCCTACTTTCTTTCGGAAAAGGCGCTACACTTAGAAATCCGATCGAGTCTCCTGGTAGAAAAGTTGTTAACGGATTAAAAAAAAAAAAAAAAAAAATAAACACATCTTTGTAAAACGCCGTGAGCTTCTACGCTCCATTCGGGATCTAAAAACAGAGCACGTCGCGCGCGCGTCTTTTGTCGTTTTCCGTCCGGTCGAATGGATCACGTGGTAGTGTCGGTTCGCGCGAACGGCACGGCCCGCAAAGGCGCGCGCGGCCACACAACGTCGTCGTCGCCGGGATACCGCATTTATCGAAAAAAACAATAGCGGTGTCGGCGCGCGCGCGATACGCCGTTTGTGTTTTCTCGCGCGTCCTCGCGAACGCTGTAATTATTAGCGGCCCGTACCGCGGTGGCGACATCCGCGCGGTCGATCCTCCGGGGCAAATAACTAACTCGCGGGCGGCACGATGGACCGGCGCACCGTTTCCGGGCCGCCGCCGCTGCTGGTGTGGTTGCTGGTGTCGTCGTGGACGGTGTCCGGCGCGCGGGTCGGGCCGCCGGTGAACGTGGGCACCGTGCTGTACGGGAAACGGGACCTGGCCAAGTACTGGACGGACCGGGAGGCGGCCGGGCTGCGGTGCAGGGAGATGGCGGACCAGCTGATACCGAGGCGGATTCCCGACGGCGCCGCGTTCGTCGATTACTTCAAACTGATCGAGGTCCAGTCGTCGCTGACCGTCGACAGCCAGACGAGCAGGAGACGGATCATGTCCGCCGTGGCCGACGCCGTCGGCGGTTACGCGTCCGGCGTGCTGTGGCCGCACGTCAGAGCGTCTTATTACGACGGCCGCGTGCCCTACGACCTGGCCAACCGGCTGTACGGGATCGTGAGAAAGATCAAGTAAGAACAGCCGCCGTTCGTTGTCGTTCGGATATTCCGCGGGGGGGAGGGGGGCCGGTAGGGGCCCCGCGGACGAGAGAATCGCGTGTGCGATGCTTTCGTTTTGACGAGATTTCCAACGGTTCCGCCCCCGAGGTCCTTTTATTCATTTTTTTTTTTTGTTATTTTTTCTGAAAAACGTGTTCTGAGAATGAGTAAGTGTCTAAGACGTATTTGTTTCTACGCGCGTCAACCGTTTATCCGATACAGGTACAGTTTGGACACGGACGGCCGTGGTTGGATAACGGCGCCGGAGCGGGACGAGTCCGATCCGGCGAGCGTCCGCGCCAACAACGTCGACGACGACTTCGACGACGTCCGAGATATCGTGGAAAAACCGTGCGCGGGGTTGCGCCTGCAGCGGGAACCGTCGGCCTACGGCGACGGCGCGGTGGTGCCGATTCCGACGTTCGACGACAACCGGCACCCCGGGTCGGTGGCCGTGCCGTTCGCCGCCGGCAAATGGCTGTTCAGCGTGACCGGTCCGCCGGCCGCGACCAACGAGGACGTCCCGTTCCTGGTCCGGTACTACCTGTTGGCGGTCGGGTGCACGTCGACCAACCCGAATAATCGGTTCCGGCGGGACGTGAGCGAATGGCTCAACTCGACCGTGGTGCCGCTGTTGGCCAGCCGCCGCCGCTGGTATCCAGCGCTGGCCGGTGCGTCACGAGTCGTTAGGGCCGCAGCCAGGGCCGCCGCGAACCGTGCCGCAAACAGGGCCGCGGCCGGCGTCAACAGCGCTAGGGACAAGAGGACGGTGGAATCGATGCCGGCCGCGGCACCCTTACCGCCGGATTTCGGCGTTGACGATTGGCCCAGTTGCGACGACGGGCCGAGTGGAAAGCTGCCCAATCCGAACGTGTTTCGGCTTGCCATTTTGCTGTCCCTGACGACCGTTTGGTTGAGTTTCAAAATACTAGTCGTACACAAAGGGATACGCTATATACTCGATGTGCTCGCTCGATGGTCGCCCCCCAGGCATAAATTTTAATGCGCATATCACAGAGTGAACGAAAAAAAAAAAAAACCTGCAAAATACCTGCGTTTACGTAAATTGTTTTATTTATTTTAGATTCGGGACGTAGTGAGAGATCTATTGGTTTTAATACCATGTGTGTTTTTGTATTTGTATTTTTTTTTTTTTTGTTTTGTCAGTAACTTGCCAGAAAACTTGCTCCGAAGTATGAACCACAGCACATTTTCTGAAAGGTAATTTTCTCTCGTTGGTGCGTTGTGGAGGTGGTCACTTTTAGATTTTCCGAGGGGTTTTCGAAATAATCGGGCGTTACCGTTTTCGTTGTTTTTATTACGTTATACTTACGTTTTCTGCCAGAGATATTACTCTAATCGAAAAATGACAGGTGATCGATTTTGTTCCTATCAATATTTCGCTACTGAATGTAATTTTCCAAAGTGGTTTTCCAAATAATTGGAAAAAACCAAAAAAAACGAAATATACAATATTTTTTTCAAATTACTGCACTACGATTTCATTAAAATTAAAATTTCGATGGCTCATGTTTTCTTCCGTAAATATTGCTAACCTTTTTTGTTGAATTTTTAATCTAGTTCATGAATAAGTTATTGGTTTATTGATTTTACCAGCATTCTGGTAGAAAATTTGTTTACAGATAGACAAAATAAGCACACACCATAGTGAAACCGATATATTCATCGCTCAAAATCTAAAAAAAAAAGAAAAAAGGCTGCTGGTACTGTTGAATGACTGAGTAAATTACTGAGTAATTTAAATAAATAATTCGTTACAAAGGAAAAAAAATTCTGAGCAAAATATGTATTATTAGTCGTGCTTTTTCTCTTATTGCCAACGTAGGCAACGCCGAAATCAACAAATATAATACCGAAAATTGCCCGATTTGCCGATTTATTAGGGAAAACTATAAGCACCTTAAAAAAAAAATCAACCTCCCAAACGCATCAAAATACAAAATGCTTTAAGAAATTCACTACAAATTTTTCGATCGGAGCGACATATCTAGTAAAAGAAAAGCGGTGTACAGTGTTCGCCGATACGAAAAATAAAAAACGCAATATAATAATATCAATACGTCTAAAATAACAATAACGCGTAAAATTGGTAAAATATACCTTATCTCTCTCTTTCTCTCTCTTTCTCTCTCTCTCTCTCTCTCTAAACTAAATAATATTATTTGATGAGCGTGAGAGTCGATGTGTCGATGCATGCCGCTACTCCCGTATAAGTTCGGCTGCCGAAAACGCCACGCGCCGGCTGCTCGGGCAATAGTTCACACGCCCACGCACGGCTGTCTACAAACATAACACACTGTATCTGACGTTCTTATCGATTTTCATGTTTTGACATTATTCCGATAAAAATTAAATTGCGCAGATAATTTTTTTGATAGCACACTTTTGGTCGAGATATTTAAAGTTTCTGTGGAATTAATCTCTGTAGTATCAATAGTATCAATTTGAGAGAAAAGTACTCAGGAGAATTTATGGGGCATACTTTGATGTTCTCACAAATGAATGGAGGAAATTACACAATGAAGAACTGCAATCCCTTTTTCAACGACCGGATATACTGAAAGAGATAAAAAAAAGAAGGCTAGTTTGGGCTGGACATGCCTGGAGGAAACATGACTCATTAATAAGAAGAGTAATAGAGGNAAGATGGGAGGATTGCGTAAGGAGAGACACTGAAACAGTGGAGCCGGAGTGTCATTGGCAAGAAGTAGCAGAGGATAGGGATAGGTGGCAGTATGTTTATCTAGAGGTATGGTCTTGAATGGCCGAAACTAAGAAAGAAGAAGAAGTATCAATAACCAATAAGCAGTGGTAGAGAAATTACTAAAATGGCTCCACTGTAAAATTTGTGGATTGCGACTTGCCGTGTAATGTCCACGCGAACTCAGTTTTTACGAAAATAATGCTTTTATTAGTTTCAACTTTTTTTTTTTTTTTTTTTGTTGAAATACTGTTAAAAATATTCAAAGACACTTTAAATTTTGACAGAAAACTTATGTTTATCTTTTCTAGACATAATAAAATATTCAAAATATATTTGCCATTTTTGAGCTATTTTATAAACATTTTGGTTTTGCTAGTTTTTTTTTTTTATTTAGTATAGGTACTTATTAGACTAAACATAAATGCTTGAAAATTTAACAGTAGGTTTATTACAAGTCGTACTTAGTGGTAAAAAAAAAAAATTAAATTAAAAAATAATTATTATGTGAAATTGTACTATTTTTTATTTTTAATTTTGGAGAAGTTATTATATTAAATTTGGGCAAAAATCGTAAATATAACGACCTTTTAAAATATGTCTTACCGAACTTCATTTCTAATTATTTTTCGTTAGCAAAAACTTTTTGATTTATCTTTGAGTACAGATATAAATCCTAGTTCTTACTATTTATCCTACTTTCCCAATAACTTCCAACCTATAACAGCGACACACCCGCCCCCGGTTGATACTACTGGAGCCGATGCTCTTTTTTTTTTTTTTTTTTTTTTTTTACTACTATTTCTTTAATATTTTTACGTATCAATATTTTAATAATAATATTTGTATAGGGACCGAGACAGAAAAAAAAAACGTAAAATACACGATTATAGTACACGATCTTATCAGTAACCGATAGAGATCGTATATAAAATATTATACGAAACGCAGTTAAATCATCGGAACAGATGAATAGATTAATAATAGCCGATAACGATCTCTCTTGAGAGAGAGTGAGAGAGAAATAGACTCGAGATACACGCGGTTAATAAAATAAATCAATGTTTCGTACTGGGAGAGTCGGGCCGCGTCAGGCCGTAATAATGTTGCCATATAAACCCTGGGAGGCAACGCGGTCGTAAAGATCACAGCTATCACAATAATATGATTAAACAACTATTAAATTGAGAAATAGGAAATAATATCGTGTCGGCTGGCGTTATAGATATTATTAATACGTATACTTACTGTACGGGCGCCGTTCGCCGAAGTTCGGGTTATCTTAAACGCGGAACTTTGATGTGCGGCGATTATCTACGAATCGATAACGAGTGAAAATACTAAAAATCGCTCGGTAACAAAAAAACAAACAAAAAAAAAAAACAAAAATCGCGTAAACGGTGAATTTACATAATGCGTAAATAATATCGCGTTAAGGTTCTTTAGACGTACGGTGTTTGTCGTTATGAAAATCGTAAAATTCGTGATTTTTTCAACGTCCAACTGTACCCTTCTGTGCACAATCGTTTAAGCATATTTATTCTTTTTTTTATATGTATCAAGACGTGGAGCACCTAAAGCTAAATTCTCGCAAAAACGTAACGTTGCATTTGTTTGTTCGCCTACAAATGTCCCGTAAGAATTGCTGTCTATGTATATGCTTAAGTAAAAGCAACTGAATCGAACGGACGTGTGTTGCTAATTATGTGTCATTCGTAGGTGTGTCTTTAAATTACCATTCAATAATAAACATTCTTGCTTAGACCTTATGTTTCGGTCACACGAAATCCGTTCAATCTCAGGCTTTGATTGCGTATACGTTGTAGGTGTATTTTTCGGTTTTAGACTTTTTTTTTTTTTATAACGCCGTGTATTTTTTTGTTAGGGATTTCTCTGGTTTTGCTATAATGCGCAATCTGAGAAATCGCTAAATTTTCAACGAAAGTAATATCTTTATCATCGTCTAAAATTGAAGGTGAACTTATAAGTGGTTTTTTTTTTTTTTTTTTGTACCACACAAACACTTAAGCCCACAAGAGGTTTTGATCATATGAGAGAAGTCGATTCTAATACAACGTGAAGGCGATTTATCTTTTTTGTCGGTAACATTCATCAAGGTATGATTGAAAACTTAAATTACAAAAACTTGTACACATTGCTATAAGAAGTGCTTTAGAATAATCTGATATAGTTTCACTAGGTTCGTTCAGTTCACATTTTTATATTGTCATTTACTTTTACATTCTGATTGGAGAAAAGAAGCTTATCGTATTACAAAGATGTTCAATTTTTTTTTTTTTTTTTCTTATCTGTTGAAAACATTTCTACCAAAAATCTTGCTCTGATATTCAGCGTAGCACCTTTTCTGAAACGAAATCGGTGTCGGTAGGTAATTTTTCGATTTTCTCAGGAGTTTTCTCATCAAACGTGAAAAACCAAAAAAAAAAAAAATGGAGAAAAACGGGAAAATATATGAAATATATTAGTAAAATATTATTATGATTTTTTTTTTTTTTTGTATGTGCAACTTTTCTACGACCGATTTTGTTTCAATTTAAAATGATAGTCCTTTTTTTTAAAATGAAATCTGACTGGGAAGGTACTTTAAGGAGGTAATTTATCGATATTTCAAAGAGTTTTTCCGGCGAATGTGAAGAATCGAAAAAAAATGGAGAAACCGGAAAAAACGTATAAAAAACGGGAAAATCGGTATTAAATATTAAATAAATATTATTAAAGAAAATATATAATGTCTAATTAATTTACCATAATACCACGTATATATTATTGACATCACATCAGTATCAACTGAACTCCGCTCAGAATCGTTTTTTCGTTAGCAATAGTTTATCGTTGCTTACAGATATACATTGCATTCACTTCTGTATCCCGCCTTCTCACTTTCCTATCTACAACAGTGGCCGAATTCACGTGCAAAGTATGTCCGTCTTTTTACAATCAAAAACATTTTTAAAAATAAATTGTCTATCCAAATTGTAAGTTTCTACGAATATTTTCAACTGAGTCACAACAAGAAAACAAAATTGAAAATAATAAATTTCGTAAATTGTTTTAATTATTATGAAAACCACTTGGGAAATTAAAAAATCACCTCCATAAAGCACCACCCAAATAAAATTTCTCTTCAAAAAAACACTCTTACACTTGAATTTGACCGGATCAAGATTGCCGCAAGATTTTTTTTTTTTCCGTTACCTCGGCGTCAGCCTATGCGTGCCGTGCAATATAAAAATGTTAACATTCAATTAACAAAACGATAG